CTTTGTTAATCAAGTCTATATGTATTTAGAAGCTGATATCTTTAAAATGAAACGAGATATTACATAACCTGATTTCATTTTAATTAATACAGCAATACTTTAATTAAACATGTAAATTTTACTTCGTTTCAGCTCAATTTATTAGATGTATAGCTGTAAATACTATTAAGTGAAAATTAGAAAATTACTCAATTTTGACGGTGCTCCGTGACCCCATTATTGCTGTTCTAAATCCTTGGTAATTTTAATAAATATGAGGATACATTCCAATTGTTTTTACTCAAATTATTTGAATCTGTTGTTAAAATATTTGTACCAAATTTGGATATAATATGACGTTTAATAAAAAAGTTAGGACAAAAGTCTACGAACTTTTTGAATGACCCTCGTATATCCTCGTGACATTAAATGCTTGTGCACGACATTGTATGATTTTCTTAATCTTATAATGTATGTTCAGTATTACATGTATAAGCAAAGTAACCCTGGTCCTCTACGTCAACAAACAATTTTAGGTATTTACATAAAAAGTTAAAAACTAAAGTTTAATGTTATATACAACTAGATAATTATTATGCAGTGTAGTTCTGATTTAATAAAACGCGACAAATATGTTGAGCTCCTTGTTCTCTCGTAGAGGAAAAGCCTAAACTCCCTCAAGATCCGCCACTACATTTCTTCGAGGTGTAGCGGGAAAATTTTTGGCACATTTTAAAACTTGCATTATCCACGGCTGCTGGTGCTAAACATAGGCATCGGAATTGGGGGGGGGGGGGCTAGGGTGGAGGGGCTTAGCCCCCCATTTTTTTTTTTCGAAATATAAACTTAGTATAGACATTGAACATATCTTCGTAAGTTTAGCCCCCCCACTTTCCACAGATACGTCTTAGTATAGGTTAAAAATTGGAAAAGGGGTGATGTTTTTTAATAAAAAAAATTTTTGGTACTGGAGTTCAGTTCGAAACTAATCCCCCCCCCACGAAATAGGATTTTCGTGTTTAGGAAATAGATATTTCCTTGTTTTTTTGGGGGGGATGGTACAATTTTTTTTACACTTAGCCCCCCTTTCAATTTGCTTCCGACGCCAATGCTAAATCTTGTTATATTCTGTAGCCTCTTAGGTCTTTTGATGGATTAACATTTAACCATATTTTTTGAAAATGTTTATATATGTACACGTGTACACGTCATTTTAAAATAAATACTTAAACAAATCCTGTTGAAATAGAGAAAGTGAAATTGTGCAACATTCATAACACGGTCTTTGCTTTAGACTATGCCCAACACATGTCCGCACTTCAAACATGTCAAAGTTTCTCAATCAGGAAAGGATGAAATCTTTACCTCATTCTTTACAAGAAAACATATTGACGCAAGCGTCAAATGGGCCGCAAAATAATTTTTGTACAAATCATTCTTAGTTATAAGTTAAAGACGCAGCACCAGGAAGAAATTATGATTAGTTATATGTTTTATGGTACATTCTTTTAATATTTCAGTAGAAGATGATGCATGCTTCAAAGTTGAAATTTGCTTTAAAAATTCTTTTAGCATTTCCAACAGTACTTGTATGACAATTTCCAAGACATGAAGTCCTGGAGAAAATATTAATATAATGTAGTAATAATCCCAATCTGGAAGTTTTTTTTAATGTTGTTTCAAAAGAATGAAAAATGAACACAAACTATCTAAGAACGAAATTTATTGAACATAACATGACTAGATTATAAAATAAAATTCACATCTCAGTGACTAGAAAAAACAAATGGACTACATAAAAATTGAAAGAGAAAAACCAACAGGTTGAAATGATGTGATCATAAAAAGAAACAATACTCACAATAGTATTTTAACATACTATATAAAATAAAAAGAAAAGCAATCACAAACAAACTTCAAATAATGAACAAGATTATGCATATTGTATACAACCCTATTGGTTAAAAAATAATCAGTCGCAAAAAAACAAAACAAAAAAAAAATCCACGAGTTTGAAATACTGAAGGAAAAATATGCATACTGTGTACAACTGTACTAGTTAAAATAACAGATAGTATATTCAAATACTGAACAAAATTACAAAAAAAAAAAAAAAAAAAAAATCACAAACAAACTCTTCAAATAATGAACATGATTATGCATATTGTATACAACCCTATTGGTTAAAAAATAATCACTCGCAAAAAAACAAAACAAAAAAAAAACCACGAGTTTGAAATACTGAAGAAAAAATATGCATACTGTCTACAACTGTACTAGTTAAAATAACAGATAGTATATTCAAATACTGAACAAAATTATACATATTATGTACAACCCGTATTGGTAAGGAAAATCACTGACAAAAACATAAGGTTGAAATACTGAACAAAATTATACATATTATGTACAACCCGTATTGGTAAGGAAAATCACTGACAAAAACATAAGGTTGAAATACTGAACAAAATTATGCATGCTTTATACAATCATAGTGGTGGAATTTGTTTAACAAAAAAAATGACAAAAAATTTTAAGGTTTTCAAAACTGCATGTACTTTGAAAAATCATGCATGCAACATGATGACGTTTTAAAGCTACTTAAAAGTAAAAAAAAACATAGGTAATCAAAGATTACGAAGCTCACCTCGACGAATGTTATCAGTTTAAGTAAAGCAAATCTCACATCATATTTTCTTATGTTTAGTATTCATCCCAACAACAATATTCTTGCAAGTTGTGTTTAACCCCTTACATGGCATATACACATTTCTAAGCCTGTAGCGTGAAAAATATGTATATGTATAGTGTAAACAAATATTCATAACTATTAATAATGCAGATATCAAGGTCTTCAAGTTCATTCGGATTGATCTCTTCCCAAAACTTTAACCAAGTCTCTTGTATGGAAAATATAGGTCAGATCCAGCATCCGAAGCAAGTTTGATAGTGTCCATCCTTAGATGCATCATCCATGCAAGTTTGGTTTAGCTAGGGCTTATAGTTACTTGGGAATGAAAATGTAGGTCAGCTCCAGCATCCGAAGCAAGTCTGGTAGTGTCCATTCCCTAGATACATCATCCATGCAAGTTTAGTTTAGCTAGGGCTTATAGATACTTGGGAATGAAAATATAGGTCAGATCCAGCATCCGAAGCTAGTCTGGTAATGTCCATCCCTAGATGCATCATCCATGCAAGTTTGGTCCAAATAGGGCTTAAAGTTACTTGGGAATGAAAATATAGGTCAGATCCAGCATCCGAAGCTAGCCTTGTAATGTCCATCCCTAGATGCATCATCCATGCAAGTTTGGTCCAAATAGGACTTATAGTTACTTGGGAATGAAAAAGTAGGTCAGATCCAGCATCTGAACCAAGTCTGGTAGTGTACATCCCTAGATGCATCATCCATGCAAGTTTGGTCCAAATAGGGCTAATAGTTACTGTGGAATGGACCTGCTCCAAAAACTTTAACCTGGTCACTCATCTGGAGAATGTAGGTCAGATCCAACATCCGAAGCAAGTTTGGTAGTGTACATCCCTAGATGCATCATCCATGCAAGTTTGGTCCGAGTAGGGCTTATAGTTCCTTGGAAATGGACCTGCTCCAAAAACTTTAACCTGGTCACTCATCTGGAAAATGTAGGTCAGATCCAGCATCAGAAGCAAGTCTGGTAGTGTACATCCCTAGATGCATCATCCATGCAAGTTTGGTCTGGGTAGGGCTTACAATTCCTTGGGAATGGACCTGCTCCAAAAACTTTAACCTGCTCCAAAAACCTTAACTTGGTCACTCATCTGGAAAATGTAGGTCAGATCAAGCATCCGAAGCAAGTCTGGTAGTGTACATCCCTAGATGCATCCGCCATGCAAATTTGGTCCCGGTAGGGCTTATAGTTCCTTGGAAATGGACCTGCTCCAAAAACTTTAACCTGCTCTAAAAACTTTAACCAGGTCACTCATCTGGAAAATGTAGATCAGATCCAGCATCCAAAGCAAGTCTGGTAGCGTACATCCCTAGATGCATCATCCATGCAAGTTTGGTTCAGGAGGGCTTATAGTTACTTGGGAATGGACTTGCTCCTAAAACTTTAACTTGGGACGCCGACGCTAACGCCGACGCCGACGCCAACGCCGGGGGTATAGCATAAGCTCATCTCGACTTCGTCGAGGTGAGCTAAAAATAACAACTCTAATATCAGTTTATAAATGGTGAACGGCTGATGTGAACAACTGATATTTACTTCTCTCTAATCACTTCAGAAATGATTAATGACTGAAATAATTATCTAATATTATAAAATGTGTTGTTTGCAGTTATGCATGCCTTAAATCTGATAGGTAGCTTTGAAATGAGTATTGGAATAAGTTCCTCCTTGGTTTCTACGTTCAGGTCTTCTTGCAAGATATTATCCAGCATGGTTTTGAAAACTGTCGCTTTCAGGTCCTGTTTTGTTCCTTTTTTGTAGAGGAATGATACTTGAAATGTTTTCTTGTTACTGTTGTTCCTTTTGCATACTGGACATTCTTTGTCTACGTATTTTTCTGTCTACAAGCTAAAAATAAATGAATGAAATTATTCAACCAGGATTCATTTCACAGTGTCACATGGTATACCTTTTATACAAACATTCATTTTATTTTGTTTCCAAAGTAGAATTAATATTTAACAGGGAAAAAAAGAATGTTAGATAATGAGCCCTCCTCCAAGCATCCTTTAGGATGTACAGGATGAGGGCCATTCTATGTAATGAGCCTGAGGCTCAAAAAGGGTATCATATAGCATTTTCCTTCGAGCCAGCGAAGCGAACCTCATTTTTAAAGAAGTTAAAAATATCCGTATGACGTATGTATTACCTGAATACCTGTAGTATATAAGGCACAACTCCACGTGCCAAACCATTTTTAAAAGAAATGTTTGTGACAACTCTACATTTAAATTGGGTGGGAAATTTGTATCCATGTAGTATTATGGGATGGGTATATGATACCCTTTTTGAGCCTCAGGCTCATTACATAGAATGGCCCTCATCCTGTACATCCTAAAGGATGCTTGGAGGAGGGCTTTTTCTATTACATATCGCCTTTCGGCTCTGCAAAGGGTATCATATAGCATGTATAAAGTGTTGATCACAAACATCAAGACTTCTTAGTGCGATCAGAAAAGTAAACATATTTCAGTGAAAACATACGTCATGGTTGAATTTTTAAAATCGTTCCATTATATTATTAAGCTCAAGAACTTGAAATTAAATTCATTGAAATTAACTATTCAAGTCATACTATTATATCAATTTGACCAACTTCAATTTAGAGTCAATAATACCAAATTTAACGTTATAAATTTTTTTTAATCAACTCTGGTTGACTACTAGTATTGGTACTGTGATACGTATAAAACTATCATTTGAAATTCTCAACCTTATTCTTGTCAAATGCAAAAGCATTTGGAAATAAAAAGAGAATCACTTTTCCCACATTTATTAAAGACAAAGAAAATCAACTCACATATAGATTATACAATGCAATGAACAAATCATCATTTTAATAGAAAATATAAACATTAAATTGACAAATTATAATGTCCTTCTTCTCACACCAAAGTTCATTATTCCGCACACAGTCAAATTTATCTATTTAATATCGCTGTCGCAAATTGTCCATCACTTGACTGATTCACATTAGGTTCTTTAAAATAAAACTTGAAAAAAGTCTTTGAAGATGTCCAGTTTGCAGTTTCTAACATATCCTTCATAGAAACTCCAGAGAGATAGGCGGCAGAAGCAGAAGCTCCACGAAAAGAATGCGCTGTAAAGTTCTCAATGCCGGAGAGTTCCAAAACCGTCCTGAGCCATCTAGCTAAAGTACAAGTTGTCACAGGAAGAAAGGTTTTATATGAAACAAATAAATTTGAAGATTTCCTGTAGTCTTTTGTCCTCCTCAAGTACTCTTTCAATGTAGAATAAACACAAATGCTTTTGTCAGAATATTTACACAATGTCACTTTATGGGCAGGACTACCTGGTTTACAAGTTTTTAGCAATTTGTTAATTATAAAAACAACTTTATCACTAAACATTTCCATATTCTGTAAATCTAAAGCCAATAATGTTTGTGCTCTTGAAGCTGTAGTGAGTGCAATAAGGGCTATTAATTTAAGAGTCAACATATGTAAATTAACCTTACTCAGAGGCATTAGAGTACGTAAAAATCCTAACACTTTTGAAACATCCCAAGTACATTTTACTTTTGGTCTCGAGGGATTAATGTTGAAATAACCTTTCATTAATTTTGGTATCAATAATGAGGTTTTTATCAATTGAATACCGAAAAAAGGCAAGGTATTTACTAGCATAGATTTCTGAGTATTTATAACAGAATAGGAAAGTTTTAACTTCATTAAAGATGTCAAATATGTTATAACATTCACTTCAGATGGTTTATAGGGATTAATACACCATTTATAACACCAAAAAATCCATCTTTTCCAACAACACTGATATTGTTTGTTTGTTGCTCCCCGTAAAGATGCTGTGATGATTTTTGCATCCAAGTTTGAAAGTCCTGAATTCTGGAGTGCTCGCTTGATACAATACAAGCGATCAATTTCATTTTCCGAAGGGGATGTACCTCGCCTGTGTGAGTCATTGTCAACAAGTCCTTGTGCCGAGGTAGCCTGATTGGAATAGAAACAAGAGCAGACATTACTAATGGAAACCATATCTGTGTTCTCCACAATGGAATTATTATAATGGCTTCTTTGACACAGTCATCAAAAATTTTATTTATAATTCTACCAATCAATTTGAAAGGTGGAAAAATATAAGGACGAAAATTTGACCATGACATTGTGAAAGCATCAACATGATATGCTTCTGGATCAAAATTCCATGATACAAATTTATTCAACTGTTTATTTAACCTTGAAGCAAATAAATCTATATCCGGTTTAAAAAACTGATCACAAATTCTTTCAAATATTTCTGATTTTAACATCCATTCAGTTGAATCTGAAAATTTTCTAGATAATGAATCGGCATAAACATTTTCAATGCCTGGAATATATTGTGCAGAAATTATTAAATTTCTTTCAAAACACCAATTCCACACCTCAACTGTTAATTTGTCGAGTTGCTTAGATTGCATACCACCCATTGCATTAATGTATGAAACAACTGTTGTATTATCAGTTTTGAAACAAATATGTTTTGAAGAAAACTTCCTGAAAAAGGATTTTAATGCAGAAAATATTGCAAGAAGTTCCAAAACATTAATATGGAATTTCGCTTCTTCCCATGTCCATCTACCTCCTGTCATTTTATTTTGAAACCTTGCACCCCATCCTTTTAATGATGCATCTGTTTCAACCCAAAAATCAACAGAATTTGTTTTAATCGGTTTACCATTCAAACTCCTAAGATTTGTATGCCACCAATCTATTTCATGAAGACTAATATCAGAACAAACCATATAAGAATCATAATTGTCATTGTTCAATTTTAAATTCTTATCCTTATCCCTTTCTAAATTTCTGTAATGCAACGGACCTTGCATAATAGCATTACAAGCATGTACTAACAAACCAATCAAGGATGAAAATTTGCGAATCTTACAAAGTTTTGTTGATTTTATTTCTGCACAGCAATTCAAGATTTTTTGTATCTTTTCCTCTGTTAAATAAATTTTATATTCAACGGTATCAATTATAACTCCAAAGAAAACAATTCTTTGTGTTGGAATGGTAACCGATTTCTTGATATTCACAGTAAACCCAAGATTATGTAACTCTGAAGTCACCAAATTTGTTTGGTTTAAACAATGGGAATAATTTTGATGCATGATCAGGGAATCATCAATGTAATAACAACATCTAATTCCATTCTCTCTGAATACAGCATATATGGGTTTAAGAACCTTGGTAAATATTCGTGGACATGATGATAGTCCAAATGGTAGTACTACAAATCTGTAAAATTTTCCTTTCCATTCAAATGTCAAAACTTTCTGTAATCTGAATGTACACTTATACTAAAATATGCATCTTTTAGATCAACAGAAGTCAAAAAATCATCTTTTTTGATCAATTCTAAAGCATAAGACAAATTTTCTTCTTTAAAATGATGATACTCAATGTATTCATTTAAATTCCTCAGATTGATGATTGGTCGTAAACTTCCATCCTTTTTTGGTACTAGGAAAATATTGGAGAAAAAAGCATCTCCTATATCAAAAATTTCCTCAATAGCGCCCTTTTCTATAAGATTTTCTACTTCGTTAGAAACCAGATCTTCTTCTTCCTTATTAAATTTAATTTGTTTTGGCATAGAAGTTTGTAAAGGAATTTCCATAAATTCAATTTTATATCCAGCATAAATTATATCTAAAATCCATTGATCATCTGTAAAATTTGTCCAGTATTCATAATTAAGTTTCCTTACCTTTACTTGTAGTACTTCTTTGTCGTGTTCATGTACTGTTTTTGAGTTCGACCTCTCTGGGTACTGTTCATGGTCATGAATCTTGACCTGCCTCTGCCTCGGTATGCATTGTTGTACCTTTGTATTTGACTGGCATAATTTTGATTGCTGTAGTTTTTTGTAAATGGCAAGTTATTTTTGGGTTTTGAATCCCAGAATGGGGATTTAATACCAATAGGGTGTTTATTTATGTCCCCGATTTCTTTC